CCACTTTCACTCTTCTTCAAGGTCCCTTGCTGACCTCCAAACTCTGAGATCAGACCACAGTCTCCAACCTTGGATCTGGGAATCCAAAGAGTCTTATGATCACTCAGACACTGTCTGGGGGTCATGGATAGCTTGCTATTTCAATCTGATTCTGTAAATTCTTTTTATATGGGCAAAATATTTCTTGTAAGAAAAAAAGTTTAGCTTGTCTAGGTAGAGCAGTGCAGGATTATAGCTTTTTTATTTTGCTAACATCAACAGGTGCCACTGAACAAGCAATGGAGTGGGAAATGTATCAGGTGGGCACACAGATAAAAAGCCTGCAGAAATGTTCACAAGGAACTCATCACATCAGAAGAAATTTGGGGCAAGGGTGAGCCTTCTTGGTTGGTTAAGAGTTACGAGAGTACTAGCAAGATTTAATTTTTTAAAAGCTGAGGCATTTTTAGAATGTAGCAGAAGCGTGAAATAGAAAAGAATGTTGGAAAGAAGGAAGAAAGAGAACATGAGAAAAATAACTAAAAAGGGTGAAAAAATGAACAAAGGTACTGCTGAAAGAAACGTGTGCTGTAAGAAAAAATGTGGAGAACAATCTAGTTAGGAATTCGCTGGACACATTTAAACTGGTTATTTTGTTTGTATGGGTTTTGTTTTGTTTGGGGTGATTCTAATCATTCAGAAGTCAAATCCCCTTTTCCACATAATTCTACTACTTCTTTTAGTAAAAATATTGTTTAGAACTTGCGGTCTCTTTTATTGTTCAATTATTCATCTCATGCCTAAAAGTTGAGTCCAAAATTATTTAAATACATTTACAAAAACAAAGATGTAAAGTTTGTTCGGTGGAAGCAGCTGGAAAAAGTAAAAAGTGCTGCTTGGTAGAAGTAGAAAAGTGCTGGAAAGGGAAGGGTAAACAAGAGTGGGAGGCTGTATTTGGCCTATTCTGCCTTCTAAACACATGCCAAGGCACACCTAGCAATAATAATCAAACCAGCAACAGCAGCAACAAATAGCTAGTATGCATCTGCTCCATCAAAAGGCTGTTCCCCTTGTAGTTCCATGTGCTTGGAACTATGTGCACGGGGGAGGTCTTGGGCATAACCGCCCCAGTTCCCACAGCCAACTCCAACTAAGCCCTACGGCACTGAGTAGGATTGTGACTCGTTACTCAGCAGCCTCGGCCCTGCCTCCAGACAGGAGGCTAATATTTAACTTGTGCCCCTGACACCGGATTGTGCTGAACGTTCAGCTTGGCCATATCCTCCCCCATAGCTGCTGCAAGTCCAGCAGAATGTGCAGTGGCTTACAGCTGAGACGAACGAATCAGGCAAAGAAACTAGATTGACCTGCAGAAAGCTTCCCCATAAGAGGAAGCTTTCTGCTTTCAGACGAGCATTGATGTACAGCAGCAAGCAAGTGCTGGTGAGGAGGCAGGGGAAGATCAGAACTCCAGCAAAAAAACAAACCATCAGGCACCTTCTCCAGCTACGGCAGAGACTTTCAAGGAAGGTTACTTTCTAAAGCTGTGGCTGACTAAAACAGATACAGTGGGAAGAACGTTTGGTCAGACAGACTCAAATGACAGATTTCTAACCTGCCAGCAGTCCCAAAGAAAGGCAGAGAAGGAACCCCTTCCTGAGTTTTATCTTGTTTTGTTACTTTTCTTGCCAGATCTTTGCACCAAAATCATTTAAATGATCAGATCCTGTTATCTTCTCTAACATTGCACCATTGGTGGTTGTATGACAATGTTGCTGATGATGGAAGGTCGTTTTGATCCATCTGATTAATGATGTTTGGCAGCCTTATGATAGAAACAGTAGAGATAATATGAGGCACAGTGTCCTCCTCATCCTTCCCATTGCACAGCGAAGAAACTGCCCCTTGCAGGTATTCCTTACCAGTTCTAGCTTCAGGCCATCACTCTTTGTATACCTCGCTCACCACTCATCCACTACAAGTCTTCATTCTGCAGCTGTGCAAATATGTATAGGTCATTGTTTCTGACCATGTTCCCTAGCAGATACAAGGTCGCTACAAGAAAGGAACTGAACATCATATACTGACATTATCCCTCTCCTCAGAAGCAATGTGCAAATCATACATCCTTCCACACATAAATTATCAGCACAGTAATAGAACATCCTATTATTTACTTATTCCTATTTATTTTCATAATTTATTGGCTGCAACACATCAGCATTCTCAAACAAACAGTTAAATTATATGTTTAGCTGCCACAGTAGATTAGCTTTTCCCAAGTCACACAGATTCTGTGGACTAGCTTTTTTATTTTACACAAATATATTTGTAGAGAACAACAGAAGAAAAGGTTACCAAAGGAAAATGTGCATTTCCCCTCAAAGGCCAAAGCTTCAGAATCTGTATCTGTGGGGATCTGTACATTTCTGGAGGTCCAAATATGTGCAAGCACAAATGAATGAAAGTTCAGGCAATAGAAACAAAAATCAGATTCCACCAATGAGTATCTAGCGGCATGAAAAGATCTTGACAGTCCACAGAAGGTAGATCAGTATTAACAAGGTCCATACATTCATACAATTTAGGAAGCTTTTTTAAAAATGAAGGTCTCCTTATTGATCTAGGTAAGCCTTAGAAAGAAAGCCTTAGAAAGAAAGCCTTAAAATGCTCATCTTACAGACAAAATACAAGCAAAACAACAGGCAGCCAGCACAACATGTAGCCTGTGGGTTCCTTCTTTGATACAGTCATGAAATTTTGCTCCATTATTATTGGCCTGTGAGTGCTCCATGTTCCTTACCTTATGAGTTGCTGGGTGGCATGCATTCACAGCTAAAGCAGGGAACATACTATCTGGCCATCTAGATGTTTTGACCTGTAACTCCCATGAGTTAACCAGGTGAACACATATTTATATCCAGATACTGAACAATACTTAAAGGCAAACTGAATGTTGCACGCCTTTAATGTTGTAATATTCCAAAATGTGTAGCAGTATTCTCAGATTTATTATTTTTTAAAGCAAAACCATGTTGGAAATGGGATTTTAGAAAACAAAAACAGATGAATATGCTTATCTGGGAAAGGAGGAAATCCATTGTCCAGAAAGATAAGGACCCAAGATAGGTATTATTTGAAATGAGTGCCTAACAGCAATGCCTTCTTTATAGTTTTACTCTAGAAAGTAGGAACAGGGGGCTCAGTACAATTCTTCATAGCCTCCCTAGGCCCATCCTATGGCTTGAGCTACAATGGGGCCACTACGTCTACTGCAGAGTAAAGAACAAAATAAAATATGTAGATTTGGAAATAATGTCATGCACCCTTGAAGTAATGTCTGCTTTGCCCTTGGAACTCACTAAATTCTGTTGTTTTCCACAGAGAACTGAATTTTCAGAAGACTTATGGCATTGGAGTACCATTCATTACTTCACAGGAACACTTAGAATGTATTCTGAACATTCATAGAATAACAATAGAATAACAGAATAATAAAATAATATTCCAGACATAGAAAGCACAAATAAGCTTATGCATCTGCTTTTCAACAGTATTTCTTAACTGAACACCAGTCTGAAACTTCGCAAACAATGAAACAGAAAATGCATAAAACAAATGAGCAACAACAGCGGAATGCTGACTCAGTTAGAACAGCTGCCTGATCAAAGGGGAGAGAGAAAGGCACTTCCTTCAATTTATCAGTATGGAGCAGTCCTTAAGAAACACCCTTAAAACTGGCAGGGGAATCATAGCCTGCCTGACCCACAGGAAATGTAGGAAGTCCTTCAATTCTATGAATGGACACAGGTTGCAAATGTTACCACTGCACATAGTGGCATATCTAGTTGTGACCTATTTATAGTGACCTGGGTTGATTGAAAGGGATATTCAGGTTACATCGGGCTGCTTTATATGCTGGTGCTAGGAAGCAAATCTCTGGCTCTTATTCACAAGCACTGTTGACTGTGATAGTTTGGATTCCTCGACACAAAAAATGTTGGCTACTGGAACAAGTGGCTGTCCGAGGCTGCAATCCCAAGGCACATCTACTTAAAATAAGTCCCACTGAATTGGGTGAAATACATTCCCATATAAGAGTGCATAGCAGCCTTCCCCAACCCTAGAGTACACCAGATGTGTTTGACCACATGGTAGGAAGACCAGTCCAACACATCTGCAGCATCAGGCTGGGGAAGGATGCTATATAGGACTGTAGTCTATCTACAGAATTGATTATTGTCACCTGCTAACTTGTTCCTTAAAATGTTGCAGGTTTTTAATTTTTAATTTATTTTTTTATATGCTGTCCCAAAACTAAATGTCTCTGGATGGTTTACAAAAAAGAAAGAAAGAAAGAAAGAAAGAAAGAAAGAAAGAAAGAAAGAAAGAAAGACCAAAAACAAAGTAATCATAACAATGACAACAGACAGCACGCTACAATGCCAAACACTTTTCCTCAGAAAAACCTAAAGTATAATACCCTGAGAAAACTAACTCTAAAAATCAGTAGACAAGTACATTTTAGGGAAAAAACGTGAGGCTAATGTGGACCCTCTCAAAGACAAACATAAGAAGCACCCAGTTACACCCTTTAGAGCTTCCAACTCTGTATTTAATAGAATGGAATAACACATTTTTGAATAGCAAATGCGGCTACAATTATTTTAGGCACAATTCAGAAAAAGTTACGTGTAGCTAAGGATGTAACCCTGTTGCCTTCTTCTGAGTAAATATGGGAATATGTCTCAGCAAACAACTGGTAGCAGAATCCCCCAGACAACTTACTCGATTGTGCTAACTACTCCCTCCCTCCTCAGCCCCAGTCTACAATATTCTCAAAGCCGTGCTTACAGTGACATAGACTAGTTACTAACAACATGTCATTAAATTAATCACAAGTTAAGAATCAATGTTTTTAAAGGATCACTTAGAAGAAGATTGCCTATAAGCTAGCCTTTATTTAAGAACTGCCCTCACCTCCATGGGCTCTGTTACAAATGCATGGAATTAAGAATTACCTTAATAACCAAATCAAATTTCTGGTGCAAATCTCTGTTTATTGGCTTTAGGAGGCTGAGTACAGCAGTCGTAACATTCATACTGAAATACTGTGGGTAGTCCTCAGGAGTCCCTGTAAAAAGACAGTAAGGTTTGAACAGCTAATTGACATGAGGTATCAGTGTGGAGAAACACAAGGTTATTTAAAATGTACTTATACTGTCTGACAATAAAAGAATAAAATTAATTACATTGGATAAAAATGGAGTATGTATGCTTGACAAACATACATACAAGCACTATTTCTTTCTGTACCTTGATCATTCTTAATAGGTTTGGGATACCTCAGCAGCCTTTTTTATATTAGAGAAACAACTGGAAAGGTTAAGGTGGGAGAGAGTTTGGCAAAGTAAACCTGATCAGTGGCTTTGGTACTGAGCCCCAAGAAGCTGCCTTGTATGGAATCAACCAATGAGCCATATATTGACCATAGTGGTCTCTAGGATTTCAGCAGTCTTTCACAGCTGAAACACTTTTTGGGAGAACCCTAAGAACCATCAGTCAGCCATGTTCTGGTCAGTTCTGAACTGATATAAGCGTTCAATGTATACCTTTTTTTAATTTGTGGGTGATTTTCTGTGGCTATATATCTGAATTTGATTGCTTTCCAGAGTGATCCTATGGCTCCTAGGCAGTCTTCGGAGTTCTATATGAGAAGTTTAAGCTTAGGAGCTGGGGATCCGCAGTCAGATCTCTCTCACTCTCTCACAACTGGCCTTGAAAGGACTATGCTGGCTTCCTCTCTGAGGTTGGAAAAGCAACCTTGGAGAAGGGGTTAAGGAGATTCCAGATGTGGAGGCAAAAAGAGAACAAGGTCACCAGGATATGAAGTGTTCTGGTAGTGCCCCAGCCTCCTTCCCTGCCTTTTCAGAGGGTCACAACTAGACTAGCTAACTTTCTGCTTCCGTTGCTCTATTAAGAAAAAGCCTCCAAGTTTAGAAGTGTATGTGCACTGAGTGTGCAACTCATCAGACTGCACCTCAAAAGTGATATACTTGCTAGGACTGATAGGAGCTATAAAGCAAAATATCTGGAGGGCCACAAGATGCCCACTCTGATTTTAGCCTAATGAGCAAGTGTTAAATCAACCAGCACATAAATGGCAGAGTCTGAAACTGGATGGTTCCATATGCACAGTGCATTTTTTCACTGACCTACAGGCCTTCCCTGACATTTCTGGAATTCTTAAATATTCTTATTCTTGTGGTTAAGTTCAGTGTTGCCCCTTACAACAAAGAACCACATGGCTTCCCAGTATCTGAAAAATTGCATACAAGTAAACTGCCCAAAAATATGATTGCTCTGTGCATCCATTTTTTTTTTTTAAACTCAGGGAAGAAAAATAACAACTCTGAAAAAAATACTACTTCTGTATTTTTTTTAAAACGCATTTCTATATTTAATGATCATTCTTTCAATCAGAATTGCTATCTTGGCAATTTTAAGTTACGGCAAAAGGCTTGACCAAAGGCTTAGTAATGATAACACAATGCCTTATGATCCAATTATGGGGATTAATGAAGTAAAATAACAAATGTTTTGGTATTTACAAATGATAAATACCTTTTAAATATCAATGAAGAGAATGACAAGAATGTAGGTGGAGGCTCCTCTTATGTAGACTACCTCGGCCCAATTTTTGCCGCATGCAGCCATTGCCCTGGCCCTGAGGATCAGAATGGAGCACTGCTCCCATTACAATTCCCAGTGCCACGTCACAGGCCTTTCCTGAGGGTGCCCAACCATCAGGAGGGGGTTCCTGGAATACAGAGAAAGCTGCAGCTGCAATGAAGGACAGAGTAACCCCATTGTACTAGTGGATTTCTGTTTGGCTTCATCTTGCTATAATGTTCTCTCTATACATATCTATATCATTTGTATCTATATCCGTATCTATATATGTACACCGCATCTATCCCTGGAACTAATGTCAAGGTAAACATGCACAGGGTTCAGTTGTTAGGTAAAAAGTCCCTGGGGGTGGGGGCAGAAACGTAAATAGAGATAATATCTCTTCGTTAAGGAACCCCAGTAGCATAAAAATCATTATGCCAAAATAGAAAAGGGACTTTTACATAAACATTTCAGACAAAATGTGACATTTCTTATTTATGAGATATTCACAGTTTCTTTCAGTATTACGTATTAGAGGAAATGGTTACAAAACAGCTTCATAGGAGAACTGAATGAAGCATGTAGCATTCATAAAATTTACAACATGGGGGAATGTAATAGTTGGTACCGTTACACATCTAGTGGTGATGCTGACCACATGCACTTTTGCAAAATAGCATTTCGTTTTTGGAAATCATATTAAACATTACTTTTTATGGAGTATTTACATTACAATTAATGCCAGAGCTGGTTAGTGTCTTTTTAATTATGTTAAAAAGGTCACCCCATAAATATTCAGAACCCTCTTTTGTTTTGGCCGAGAGCAGCAAGAATACTTTAAGGAAGCATCAAAGAGTTTGGGTCAAATGACCAGACTGCATCAACAACCTCCTATCAACTGTGAGTTAGCAGTAGGCAACCTAATATCTGGGACCAACTGGGTCTGATATCTGGGATGGATATTTGGGAACAGTTAAAATCTGAAATTCTTGAGGTTGGAAAAAAGGTGAGTAAGGAGAGACACAACAGAGTCGCATTGAATTATTCATAGTATAGAGAATGTGGATAGAGAAACCCGGTCCTTGCGCTCTCATAATATTGGAACAAGGGCTCATCCCATGAGGTTGACTGGTGGAAGATTCAGGGCAGGTCAAAGGAAACACTTCTTCAGATTGTGCATTGGTGAACTATGCAATTCACTTCCGCAAGGTGCAGGGATGGCCACTAAGTTGGACAGCTCTAAAAGGCTATTGGAGGAGAAGGCTTTCAATGGCTAGTCCTTGTTGTTATATGCTACACCTCAACCCAAAGCAGTGTGCCTGTATCACAGTTGCTGGGGAACTCGGGTGGAAGGATAGTGTCATGCTCACATCCTGCCTGTGGGATGCTATAAGCAGCTGGCTAGCCAGTGTGTGAACAGAACACTGGATTAGGTGGACCCTTGGGCTGATCCAGCATGGCTATGATATTCCTATGTCCTCGTGTTATTTGAGTGCCCTATAGGAGGGACCATGGCTTTGGGATACAGAATATGCTTTTCATGCTGAATAACCCAGGTTGAACCACTGGCTTCTTCAAGTAACAGAATTAAGTAGCAAATTGGGAACTGGAGACGCCAAAGGGTCACTGCTAGTTACAACAGAACAGAGGTAAGTAGAGGGTGGATCTACAGATGTTTTTGGACTTCAACTCCCAGAAGCCCCTGCTAGTCTCAGGAAGGCTGGAGTCTGAAGACCCATACATCTAAAGATTGACTTTCTGCCTAGCCCTACAAGCAGAAAATGGGGGGGCTTGATGGATTAATAATCAGGACTTGTGCAAGGCAGCTTCCTATATTCCCTTTCATCTTAAACATTAATTACATTATTTGAATTTGTTGAAAAGCACCAATATTTCTTTTCCCATTTATTCTCATGTTCATATTTTCTGCCATGTCATGCTGCATGTCACACAGTAATTTCTACATGTTAAAAGGATCTTTCAGAAAGAGTTCTAGAGAACTGCAAACCCAACAGGTGCCACTTCCCACTGGCAATAGCACACAGGTGTAATGGCTGAAAACTGGTGCTGTTCCTCCCACGCAATTGCTTCTGAGAAGTGGCACTTGTAACAATGAACACAGCTGGACAGATGCTATTTCCTCTCTGGGGCTGCTCTGTATGAAAGATTTTCCAGTTCTGAACCAGGCATATGTTAGATGAAATGTGAACACACACCAGGCCAACCATAATTAGTACATCAAATGCACTGAGAGAGAAACGAACAGGAATGTTTCAGCTCTATAAATGCAGTTAAAATATAATAAACTGTCTATTCTTCTCCATTTTCCTTTCTGTTATTCTTAGTAAAATATGACAGACAATAATATTATAGCAATCAGGATATGAAATGGCTGAATAGCATCAGGGGTTTAACTAATAAGTAGAAATGAGAAAGGGGAAATTCTGAAGGTGTCAAAAAGGAAAGAAATGGGCTTTTACAGGGCTATTGGGTATGTGGTGAGAAAGGCAACATAGATAACAAAATAATCTTTGAGTAACATAGGTATATAATTATACAAATTGCTCCATACGGATAAGAGGGACTGCAATCTTCTCCACACTTTTAAATGTTTATCTCCTGGGGCAGAAAAATCTATTGGAATACTCAGATAAAAGGAAGTGCTCCAATGCTGCTTCAGCTGATCAAAACAACTCTGTGAAAATCAGTGGTCGGCTCCCACCTGTTATTGGCAGATTTTGGAAGGAGCTGAATTTGTAGCTCATCACCAGAGCAACCCTAATTTATTCTGTAAATGTTTGGCCTTGGGACAGAACACATTGTGAGAACCGGGAGCCAGTTACTGGATGTCATTCAATCACACTGAAGGCTTGAATATTTGGGGCAGGACCTCTGAAGAATTCAGAATAGCAAGACAACTAGTCCTGTTATTGCTAAAGCTTTCACAAGCGAAGCATTTTTCATGAAAGTCTGCCACATGGCAGACTGGAATGCTCCTAATCCAGAATTTCAGCAGTTAACTCTTTAAGAACAGCCACTCCGAATCAGCCCAAATGACTATCTAGTCTAGGGTTCTGTTCCTGCAGACCAATAATGCTATGGGAAACCTAAGCCCCATAGCTCCCTTCTGCTTGTGTTTTTGCACCAACTGGTATTGATAGAGGTTATGTCCTCTGATATGTGAAGTAATCTACAGCCATTACGACTAGTAGCCATCAGTAACTTTTCCTCCAAAACCTGAGTGCTCCATGAAAGTGGTGAGCCAGTGAATTAGCTGTTGAGAGAATACTATAACCAGTCCTTCCTTCAGCCATGTAAGCAGTCAATCTATTCCAGGGGGTAAACAATCTGGTGAGGAAATAAAACCAAGGATCTGAAAACAAGCATGTTTTCAGTACACACCACTGAAATGGTCCTTGGTCACCTTCTGTCACCCTCATTTATCTCATCTTTCACAAGATATCATACTAAGTTTATCACTTAAGTTTTTTCTCTCCCTCCCCCCACTTCTGTTGCCTTCATAGAGTGACATGTATTGCTTCTCTAAGTATATCAAAGGATCAAGGCTGCGATTCCCATCAGTACTACAAAAGCAGTATTTCAAATAGTACTGCTTTTCATAAGTAAGCATCATTCCTCAATTAAACCATTTTTCTTACTTGGAATCTATAGCAATTAGATTTGGAAGTTCATCTAGGGTGACTTAAGGGCTGTAGAAAAGTTCTAGGTGTTGATAATCTGTTGGTATGGGAGTATTTTTCTCTGTTAATGTCTGTTTTGGATGAGAACATTCTCTTCTTCAGGATCCCCATATGATGAAAGCTCCAAAAAAACTAGGTATGCATATGACAGTTTTAACCATCATGAGAACAGAAATTATAACCATGCATATGAAAATGCATGTTGGTTTTCTATAACATGTATAGTCAGGGTACAATTCTAGACGTGTGTGTGTGTAGCCTAGGAGGTATAGCAATTAGACTGTGAGTCTTGGGAGCTCTGCACTTACTTATAATAAACTTACGTAATAATCACTGTGTGACTTTTGGCCTGTCATTGACTCTCAGCCTAACCTTTGGGTTGGGTGGTATAGACATTAATGAAATAAATCAACAATAAATCTCACAGGATTGTTGTGAAGATAAAATGGAGAGGAGAACTATGTGCAGAGATGGTATTAGGGGAAGGCCCACTCAGGCTGGATCCTCAGTTCTTTCACCTGGGAGAACGTCTGCCCCATCATCCTGCTGTCAGTAGACACTTGCTTAGATGCATCTGATCCTGAGGATCAGTTCTTTTTTGCCCACATGAGCTTTACCTTCTGCTCCCTTCGTCCCTGAATCTTTTTGCCTGAGACTTGTTCACTTGACTTTCCTTTTCCTATCCATACATCCCCTTTCAGACTATATGTAAATATGCAAATTTGTGGAGGGGTGAGGGAGTATAGGATATAAAAGTAATACTAAAAATAATTAGATAAAGTTCAATTCTACAAATACATGGTTTCAGAAGGAAAGAGGGCACTAAATTAACCAGACATGCCTAAAGTAGGACATGTCTTATTTGAGATGTGATCTACTAATCTAGTAGCATAATTGTATACACTTGGAATTTTATTCTTTTTATTGTAGCATCAGACAAACAAGTCTATCATCCAGATTTATTTCCGGATGAGTGTGCATCAAACTGTAGTATTAATAAGAAAGACCCTAAAAATAAACTCTTGAGAAGCTATTTTAGTGTTGATCATTGAAATATACTTTAGTAGAGTTCAAAGAATTTAACCAAGAATCCATAAATATTTGGGTGGACTGCACTTATTTGTCTGTTTGCGCTGTGTATTATGCATTGACGATGTTACAAACAAAGGAAAGAAGAAAAGCAAAAGAAAAATTTCAAGATTCTTCATGGCTGGATAAAAATAAAAAAATCTTCATTTTTGATTTTTCAAAAATGGATTTCTATAATCTAGATTTTACACATGCACGCACACACTACAAATGTACTACATATATTAAATATATATTTAAAACAAAATCTGAGTTGAATATAAGCTTGTTAAAAATTGCTTAAAATATTTTAAAATTGTACCCATGACCTCTGTCAAACATACCTAGAATAAACACACTAAAATAAATAGGAATTAGATTAATTTATGCCCCATTAATTTTGATGAGTTGACTCCAAGTGTAACCGGTTCTTGATGCAACTAATTTTGTATGTCAATGAATAATGCTTGAGGAAATCTATCTCACATCTGAGATCAAAATAAAATGGTATGTATTGCATATTATTTATATGAGTTTTCTACTGCAACAAAGGATTAGCACCAAGTTTCAAGCTACTCCACCACATCTCTGTTCGGGAGCATCAACTGAACTCTCCTAAGCAATTTTGTACTTTGTATGCCCTATATCTGTGTTAGCTCTGCATTTTAGCTAGTTTTCAAACTGTGGATATTTATGACTCTACCAACCAAAAAGGCATGGGTAGTTTCATCAAGTCTCCATTTCAAGACTTTCAGTCTTTGATTGTGCAAGGTTCTTGGCGCTTCAGGTAAGTGAACTTGCTCAATGCTTTTGGATGTCCATACCACTATCCTGTCTCTGAACAGACAGGGCAAAGAGCATGGATTAGGCATGGTGAAGATTTGAAAAACATAAGTACCATGCTGGATTAGTCCAAAGGTCTATCTAGTCCAGCGTATGTTCACACAGTGGCCAACCAGCTGCCCCCAGGAACCCTCAAATAGGACATGAATGCAAAAGCACTGTCCTGCCCATGTTCCCCAGCAACCAGTACATGTAGGCATACTGTCTCTGATACTAGGAGTAGCATATAGCCATCTGGACGAGCAGCCGCTAATAGCCCTATTCCTGTATACTCCTTGGTAGTATAGTCTCTATTCAATTAGAAACCAATGTGGTCTAATTTTTTAGGGAACTAATTAGAATTTATGGTTGTTGAAGAAGTAAAGTTTTGACATGGGACATTTGGTAGTCACTAGTTACGTTTTTAAAGTAATGATTGCTTTGGACCAGATTGGCAGGGCCTTTCTCCTCACTTTCTATATTCTTTCACTTCTAACATGGGATGCCAAGGTTCAAAGCTGGGACCCTTTGCAAGGCATATGCTCTATTTTACGGAGCTATGGCATCTCTTCAAACCCTACGAACATTTGGAAATCTACTTTTCTCTAGGATCAAAGAAATCGTGGCACTGAAAAGTCTAATGTAAAGGCTGGTTCATATTGTTACTGAATGAGACAGTACAAATCTCCCGCAGGATCGCACCATCTCCGTTTCCATGCATGCTGCTTTTCACTTACTTCCCAATGTGAAAATTACATTGTTCATTCAAACTTACCACCGAGCTATCAATCTACAAGCTTTCTTTCTTTCTTTCTTTTTGGTGTATGCTTAGGGTTTTTTTGTCTATTCTTTTTTGTCAGTCCAACACAATGAAACAGAATCTATGAATGTGGATAAGCATTTCCTTGGATGCATCTAATATAGTTGCTTCATTATCTCAGGCAGAAAATTCTCAAAGAAAGCTAAATCTTCAAGCAGCAGCAATCCAATTTGGAATAAACAACCTCAGTGAGAAAGTGCACAATGAAATACTTTCCTAGAACAATACTTGCTATCAGACTAGATTCAGCATGAATTGGTTATTAGGATTCTACTCTCCACTTAATCTATGCCTGCTGGCTGCTAATCCAGTCTTTGTGGAAGATAGTGAGATTATCAAATACCAACCAACTAGGATGGAGTAGAGGATTCCTGGCCGATCAGAAGGAGGCTGAATGTTTCGGTCTTGATCTATAGCTTGTATGGGTGGTGTGACATTGATTGGGTTCACACGTGCCTGGAATGAAAGTTAGATATGTTATAATACTTATAAAGCAGGCTCTGCTTACCATCCATTCATTTTACTCTGATGTGGACACAAGCAAGACAGTTGAACAAATTGGAAATTTTTAAAGCATCAACAATTCAGTAGCAGCCCAGATTTGTCAAGTCCAATGAGAATGATGGTATTGAGTCATGATAGGATAATCACTCTGCATTTTTTAAAATCCTCAGATAATTGCATTATGTAAGGACAAGTTTGCTGTCTTATTGTTACATGCTCCTCACTTGGGTAAACAGTAACATTTTCAGGGGCAGCATTTACCTGGCTTTGATTCCTTTTGGAAGCAAAAATGACTGGTAACTTAAGTCATTTCCCATGGCATTTTAGGTGCATTTATTAATACGCAAGCTGATCTTATGATGAAGCATACCATAAGCTTCCTTTAAAGCAGAGATGCACAGCCTGCAGTCTGTGAATCTTATGCAGTCCCCTGACCATGCTTTTTTTGGCCACTGCTAGTAGAGAAGAAAAAGCCATCTGTATCAGGATAGCTTGGGGACAGCATGACCCCAGAGATGGCTTTACAAAATGTGTTTTCCTTGTCACTACTAGCAGAGAGGAAAGAAGATCAATGGTGTGTTCATGTGGAGGCCCTAAGCCCGCATTATGTGTGGCCCTCGGGGCCAAAGTTTGCCCACCCAGACTATATAGCATGTCTCCTGCTCCCACAGAGGAAAGCAACCTTGTACTCCCAGATGCCTATAAACTCACAGCTCCACACTCTCCCTCAGTCTTCATTTCCATTTTCTTCCAAACTACAGTGGGACTGTTGCTTTGCAGTCTTACATAGACCTTGCTCAAGTCATTCTTAGCTGAGATTCAAAAATATATGCCCCTCATTCTGTTAGTTTTCAAATTCCTGGGACGTTTCTGTTATTTCTTGGCTAATGCCCCATTAAGAGATATTTCTCAGTGACTCCACCTTTAGGCCAGGGATTGGGAATGTGTGGCTTTCCAGATGTTGGACTGCAACTGCCATCAGCTCTCACCACTGGATAGTCTAGCCAGGCATGATGGGAATTGTGTTCCAGAACTCAGCTACATTGGCCAATAATATTCATTAAAGAACCAGAAGGTTTGACCAATATTCTAATTGTTAGAATAGACTAATTGTGCAACCTTATATATGTCTACTCTGAAGCAAGCTCTGCTAAGTTCAATAGACTGTACAATAAGCATAGATATAGTTACAGTCTAAAACCTTTTCTAAATGTTAAATGTATTTGACCAATGAAGAGGTTATATGCAGAAAGTGTTTGTGTGTGTTCACATGTGCTGACAGGGTGGTCACTCAAACCAGCTAGTGTGCTGACAGGACATATGAAGTGTGACACAGAGGCACACTAAGTAGAATGGATATAGATGCTGTGTGATGTATGTGCTGTGTATACGAGTGTATACATTTAGAGCTTCTCCATGTATATTGTGTACGCCTACATGCATATAGTGACAAAAACACAGGACACCTGTCCACAAGCAGTTGGTGGGAGTGTGATCACTGAGTGTGTGGGGGTGTGCTTGTGGAACTGCTGATATGGTTTCTATCACACACATTTGTGATAGGGCTTCTTTGAACACCCCACACACCAACACGTATGCTAAAAGGCCTAGTTTAGTTGATAGGACCTTGAAAAAAATGAGATCTTTCCCAACAGGGAGGAGAAACAGGAGTAAAACAAAACTGGGTGAATACAGCCCACAACTGCATTAACCATTTTTGACAGTTTTGTGTAAGAGGAAAAGGACTAAGCACTGTTTGCTCAGCATCTCTGCTGGGTACAGACTGAAGCTGTTTGCATTGAATTGTGAGCAAGTTTAGGCTGAAGTAGACACTCATGCATTATGGTGTTTGCTGCTCAAAATTGTCACCATCAAGGTGCAGCAGTTGACCCATCCTAGCTGATGATGTAGTTTGAGTCTCCCAGATTCCTGTAGGAAACCATGAAGAAGACTGTGGGAAGACTGCAACCATTTGCTCCCTAGAGTGCTCAGGTCTTTATCCAATGCGCTGCACCACAGCCAAGTGGAAAATTCATGGGCTGGTGGGAAATCAGACATTTCAATGATTCTTCCCCTTTATTGCGTCCTGGCATTGTCCGGAGAGTGCCATGCTCCTACTCCGGGAATCTTTCTCAGGGAAGGAGCTAGAGTTCCCCAGGGCAAGCAGCCAGGAGAAAGTCATGCCTGAAGACCGGGAGCTGGAGAGGAATAAGTAGCATAGGCAGGCAAAAACAATGGGAGAGACTTTGTGCTTGGCTGAGGCATTTCTTCGTTGGTCATTTCTCAGTCTCCATTCTAATGCTAAAGGTCTGCATTATGTTCCTTGTCACCCTCCAGTTTGAAGGGATGTGAGAAAGTCACCCATGGACATAGGGACTTTTTTTACATATTTGATTTATAGTTATACTTCTTATTTTACAAAGTGGTACAAATGACAAATTAAAACAACACAAGTTCTAAATCTGAAGTTATTTTGACTGTAATCCCACTGTTGCAATACATACTACCTACTGTCAAAATAAAACAGTATGGCGACAAGAAGGAATTGCTGTAAGAAAGATTTAAAACCCAGGAGTTTTATGCACATTTTCCCCTGCTGGAAAATGGTTGGTGTTATTCAAAGCATGTATGCAAAATGAGCCATAAATTTCAGAAATGAAGAAGGGGGAACCAATCTTTTAAAAAGATCATTTTAAATAACAGGTTTATCCTGCATCTGGCATTACATGCTTGTCACATAATATGACAGGAAGACCTGATTTATCCTTAAATTGTTAATTTAGCATGAATATAAAAGTGAACACCAAGATGATTGAAATCAGTGAAATTTATATTCATCAACCCTTTGTTTTTTAGAAGAGAATTTTACCTAAATGGCTGGACTTTTTACTCCGAACAAACTAAAATAATAAAATAAAATGGGTGGAGTTAGATATGTGATTGGGATAATTCAATCTCTCCCAAAGCTAAACCCACAAAACAAAAAAAATAAGAAAAATAAAATTAAAGAGTTCATGCTTCCAGTACACATGACTTTGTGTAAGAACATGGCTGTTTCCTGCAGTCTTTTGCTCTGGGACTGCACTGTCTTTAATATATGCCTTAGCATTTAAAGAGCGAGTTTCTTTAGCCACAAAACAATTTTATCATTGTTAATTAGTAAAATGAACAAGCAGATGAAATGGGGGGGGGGGGGAGAGAGAGAGAGAGAGAGAGAATTGTGTGTGTGTGTAAAATGGGGGAATTTCATTCATATTTGTATAAGTACATTTTACCAGGTTTTTCATTCATCCTGCAAAGCATTGGGAAAACTATTCTCAAGTTTCTTCAACAAATTCCACTGAAGTCATGCATAACTTCACCTAGATATTTTCAGTAAAAGGAGATGAAGTGAGCAATTTTCTGAAGTCTGGTATTGTATTTAGGAATGTGCAAGGAATCTATTTGGGAGATGAAAATCTGGTAGATTTTTCCAACTCTAGATTTTGTTGCAGTTCCCTCAAACTGGTGCCAACTTGATCTGATCAGAGTGGAACCATTAAATTTTTCTACTTTTCAAATGGGTTGCAATATGTGCATGTGTATTATTTTGTTTTGCTTTGTTTTTAATTTCAGTAATTTGCACAAATTGCAGAACTGTTTTCAGGCTTCACAATTTGTGCACATCTCAAAAATGTGCAGAGTCAAGCCTTGAATTGTCTACTCCACCAGAAAGACAGACCGACACCAGCAGTATAATTATAAACAATGAACACAGTATTTGCTGGAATAAATATATTAGTGCAAGACGTCAGATATTAAATGCAGAACATTGGTGGGGGCATTGGAAAGGAATAAAAACCAGCCATTTGGAGAAATCATAGAAGGTAGGAAAAAATAACTGAAAAAAATAATAAAGATGTATTTTGATGTAAAAGAAAAGGAAAGAGAAAAAAGAAAAACCTAACAGAAAAGAGCAGTCCCAGTTCCTAGATAGGCAAAACTGATAAGTTCTTTGTGAAAGAGAGAAAATGAACTGCTAATGACAAAATAGTGAGAGGGTTCTTCCATCACCTCACAATACGGTCTTCACACATTGAGCAGGCCTTTGTGAACCAGCTCCAGGCCACATGTCTGTTCTGCAATCCTGCTGTGGCTTTCAGGAATGAACAGGGTAACTATTGGACCACAAACAGGCTCTTGGCACTTGCTGAAGAGCCCCAAAGCATCTATTGATTTAGTTGATTTGAATAGGCCTTTACAGAGAACCTTTATAGGAACAGATGTTCTACACTTTGGTGGGTTACATCCATAATGTGATTTAGACAGACTTGTCTCTCTGCCCAAGTAGTACCATGCAGCTAGCTGGTCAATTTACCAGTAACACCAAAACCTCTGACTGGCCTTTTGCCTCTTCTGTTCCTGTAGCCCTGAGGCTGATAGGGGAGAGGGGAGGATCCAAATTCTTTCCAGGAGATCAGGCAATCACTGTGAAGACCTCTGGTCCTGTGACAAGCCTGCCAAGGTGCACACGTTCTGGAGAGACGGGAGATTCTTTAGGTTCCTAGCTGTGCTGCAGGGAATAGCTTCCTCACTTACTCCAAGGAAGCCCATGCTCATGTCTTGGTAGCACCAGTGCTTTTTTTGTTAAAAAAAAAAAAAAAGGTGCTGGAACTCATGTCGCCGCTGGCAGTAAGGACTCAGCGCGCGACCACACACACCAATCCCAAGCCGAGCAGCGTCCCAAGCCAGGCGGTGCGGACACAAAAGCAGCCTGCAGGCACTATGTTAATGATGTTTGCTGCTGACCTGCTACGCCAACAGGTGATTCAAAATGACTTCATAAAATCCATTGGAAAAAACGGTGCCGGAATGCCATTCCGGTGCATTCAATGACAAAAAAAGTCCTGGGTAGCACTAAACTGTGACTGAAAATATTGCATTGGTCTTTTCTACCATGGGCATTATTTCAG